TACAGGGTGTCCCAAAAGTGACGTCCGTTCTTCTGGGTTTGATTAAGGAGACAAAAAGAATTGAAAATCAAGAGTGGAAAATTTTCCGATTGTTTTCCGTTGTTGAGTTATTCAAAAAAATATTAAAAAAACTAAAAAAGTAAAAATCTATTTTTTTTTGTCTCAAAACAGGTATGTGCTTATGGGGACCAAGACATATAATTTATAACCAATAGTAGATAAGTATAGTTTTCGATTGTCGGTTGTATCTGGGTGTAAGGAATTATTTTAACCTGAAAAGAAGAGAAAATCATTTTAATAATAAAACATAAACTAAAGCCATAATGTGCTTAAGGACCCCATATTCTTTAAATAGTGTTTTCCACAAAGACGAATAATTTCAAACATTTAATAACTGAATAATTTAAAGCTTATTAAATAATATGAATGTTATGTCATGCCATCTGGTTATTTTCAAAGACGCCGCAGTAAAAGGAATAACCAGGTGCAAAAAACGATCAAACCATCACGGTTTTAGGTACTGAAATCTACGAAAATACAAACTTTTTTATATATAACTCTACATGTAAATATTCTTATAACATTTACTTGCTTAGTCCTACATATAAAATTGTTTACTTTTATTTATAAGTACGTGAAAATAATTCTTAAATTGTGGGGTTAGGATAACAGCAAACGCATGTTTTACAAACGCTTTTTTCTTAGTTATTATTTTATTTGAGTAAATTTAAATAGTAACAATGAATAAACAGAACACCAAGGCTTTTATTTTTGTGCTTACTTTTGTTGTACAGGTTTTAGTTTTCAAGATTTCAGTACCTAAAAACGCTAGAAATTTGACTATTTCTCGGCCAGGGGTATGGCCACCTTAAATAATAGAAATGGTTTTTACAAAAGGTGTTCAAATAAGTTGCCTTCTACTTCAACACAAAAATTATCACGATTCAACATTGAAGCTTGAACTCTTTGTAGCATCTCTTGGTCTATTAACGCGATAGCAGCGAATATACGGACTATAAATCTTTTCTTTTAAATAACTCCAAAAGAAAAATCTAGGGGATTCAGATCTGGTGATTCAGGAGGCCATGGTCCTCCTCTTCCAATCCATCTGTCTCGGAAGTTTTGATTCAGATAATTTTATATTCGTAAACCATAATGTGATGGAACTCCATCATGTTGAAACCAATAATTTAGTCTAACTGCTAACCGAACGTCATGCAGCAATGGCAATGGTAAGTTTTCATTTAAAAACATACAGCTGCAGCAAATGCAGCTTTGAACTACACAAATATTTAATAACCCAGTCCAAATGTTTATTTTTAGTTTTTTGAATAATTTTTAGAATAACTCAGCAAAGAGAAACAGTCGGAAAATTTTCCTCTTTTGATTTTCGATTTGTTTTTGTCCCCTTAATCAAAACCCATAAGGACGGGCGTCACTTTTAGGATACCCTGTATACAGAGTGATTTCACTTTAAATATACAGAAATAGATTGTTGCCAAAAAATAAGGAGAGTTTTATTATTTCCACATTTCAATTATTATAGTTTTTTTCAAACAGCCTTCTTGCGAATAATATATATATATATATATATGCTTAGATAATATAATTAAATTATGAATTTAAAATATAAAATTTTGAAAAAAAAACAAACTCCAAAATTCCATTTCACCAAATGATTTTATAAATAATAAATCCTGGACAGGGCTGTAATCTGCAGAGTTGTTCTTTAAATAGCAACAAGCTTTACTATGTATGTATCTTGTACAATTACAGTATTAGCCAAAGAATAGTACAAAACCAACACAAATATGGTAAATATCACAATACACATATAAACACATTATACAATTAAGTTTAAAATTATTTACATGAAAGTATTCGTCAACAGTATAAATATTTAGGTAAGTTTTTTTATATCAGTGGGTAAAGTGTTCCACAAGTTACACATCTTAGTCGAATTACTATCTAGAATCGTCCATTTATGAAAACGTAAATAAAATTCATCATTCTATTTCATATTAACAGTGCGAGGATTCTGATTTGAAATGAAATAATTTCTAAATGTATACAAAGTTCATAAATTAGGTTTTGTCGACATATATGTCTGTACTATTATATAATTTCTGATGACAAACGTCTTTCCGTCATCTTTGTTTGAGAAAATTATAGAATTGTCATCGCTACAGATATTAAATAACGGGGATAATAAAGCATATGTCATTCATATCGACAAAGAAAATACTGGGCCTAATATAGGTCCTTGTGGAACATCTAAACCGATTTCCCTTATTTCTGAATTACAGTAGTAATTATCTTCAATCTGTAGTCTCTACAGATTGAAGATAACTATTCACGTAGTCGAATGCCCCACTGAAAAAGTATCCCAGCAGAAGACTTGTTAGGTTCAATAAATTTTAGAATTGCGTCATAAAATGAATGAACAGCTGTTTTAGTTGATATTCAGATTATAAATCTATTATGACTATTTCGATTATATTCATTTAAAAATACAATAACCTTTCTAACAACTCATGTTCCAGTTAGAACGTGAATATGACACTTTGTTTTCCGGCAATATTGAAATCTGATCTGATCTGAATCTGATCTTTTCCGGAGAAATTTTTTAGGATCTCTGGTAGAGATCAGGAGCATACCAAATTATGCAAGTGAGACGACAATTGAAAAAATATTAAAATTGAACAAATTTCGGCCTTACAAACCTAAATTTATACATACCTTGAGGCCAAGCGATTTTGAACGATGATTGGAATTTCGTTCTTCAATACAAGGAGAGTTAGAAAATTATTCTTTTATGGCCAGAAATACTATTTTTTCCGACGAAGCAACGTTCAGGTCCAATTCCCATTGTCGTTGGTGGAATGATGCTAATCCTAATTTTAATATTCGGACTCGTGACCAGTACTTATTTAAATACATGTGTGGTGTGGAATTTATAAAGATAGAGTAATTGGACCACTCTTTTTTCATGAAACATTAAATAGTGAACGTTATCTAAATTTATTAAATACTTTTTTATACGATTTTATTCATGAACTCCCCATACATCACAACCAAAATTTGTGGTACCAACAAGATGGGGCGCCATCTTGTACAAGAAATATCTAAGTAATTTTTGTAATGTAAAAATAATTGATAGATATTCTCACATTTTCTGGCCCGCTAGGTCACCGGATCTGACTCCTCTCGATTATTTTTTATAAGGCCATTAAAAAGTTATACCTGCAAGGGCCTTTTCAAAATATTGGTCATTTGGAGAGAGTAATCAGGGAGAGAATAGAAGATATAATAACTCCTGTCATTATTAGAAATGTTTTAAAAGAATTTTCCACAAGAACGGCCACTTGTATGGAAAGAGGCTAATATGCAGAGACGAAAAAATGCAGTTAAATTATTTTCATGTAATGTTATTTTATGTTTTAGAAAAAGAAACATTCATAAATAATTACACAACCACACACACTGTACTTTTCATGCGACATATGTTATCTACAGTATTTTAGCCTTCTGATCACGAATTCGGTGTCAGAATTGAACTATCACATCACAGCAATTTCCTAACCTCAAAAACAGTTCAAAAATAGCAAAATTTCACGAAATTCGCGGTCAAAATTGATGGTTCCGTTTCTAACATAAAAAAACGGGTCAATTAAGGTCAGATATCACGAATTTTAAAAAAAAATTTTGAGGTCGTCACGGATTCGAGGTGAATTTTGCAAAATTCAAGATGGCGAATCCAAGATGGCCAACCAAATTTTCAAAAAATAACAGATTCGCGCAAAATTCGCGTTTTCGGGGTCGCTGATCACGAATTTGAGGTCAATCTTGCACAATTGAAGATGGCGGCCGATCAAATTTTCAAAAAACAACACATTCGCGCCAAATTTGGTATACGGGGTTTTCGGAGTCACTAATCATGAATCCGAGATCAGATTTACAAAATTCGTTTTTAATAATTTAATCAATTACGTATGTACTTTATTACCTGAAATTAGGCAAAAAACCCGTGAATTATCTTTTATAGAAAAAATAACAAGATATAGCCGAAAAAAAGAAGGTTATAAAATAAACAAAAATATTACAAAATGAATTTCGCAATTTTGTAATATTTTCTCGAATACGTAATCAGCGACCCCGAAAACCCCCGCTTACCAAATTTGGCGCGAATCTGTCATTTTTTGAAAATTTGGTCGGCCATCTTGGATCCGCCATCTTGAATTTTGCAAAATTCACCTCGAATCCGTGATCAGCGACCCCAAAAACCCCCGTATACAAAATTTGGTGCGAATGTGTTATTTTTTGAAAATTTGGTCGGCCATCTTGGATCCGCCATCTTGAATTTTGCAAAATTGACCTTAGATCCGTGATCAGCGACTCCGGAAACCTCCCTATACCAAATTTGGCGCGGATCTGTTATTTTTTAAAAAAGTTCGTGATATCTGACCTTAATTGACCCGTTTTTTGAAATTTCTGTTTTGTGACAGCTCAATTCTGTTCATCCAAAGGTCTTTTTGGTGTAACTAATCAGTGACTTGTTTCAGATGGTGAAGCTTGAAAAATATCTTGTTTCAATATTCAAAATTTCATATTTATTTTATAAGCTTGATTTTTCATTTTTGGCCAGCCTGCTATTTCAAATGTGAAAAATTTAATACCAATTTTTCAAAAAGCAGAACTTTTTACCTATGTGTGGAGAACCTAAACGAATAAGAAAATAGAAGGATGTTATGAATCTAAACTTAAACTTAATTTTTAATTCCAAGTAACATTTTCCCATAACATTTTTCTCTCTCTTGTTAAATTAGATTTTTTTCATTTTTGGCCACCCTGTATATGGTATTTCAAGTTTGAAATATTTAATATCATTTTTTCAAAAAAACAGAAATTTTTATAAATACCTTTTTTCGTAAAATTAATAATAAGAAAGTTAATTTTCCTTATCCCTAAATTAATATATAAAACACCTTGCTACTGACCATTTCAATAATTTATTATAAAAAATATATAAATACGTTTTATTGATACAATAAAATATTTTAAAAAATGTCGCCGATGCGTACATTACTATCTACCCAATTCCAGCTGGATCTCCTGTAAACTCTTCCCCCTCGTCTCGATAACGTAAAACTTGGCAAACAGAGCTGCACCAATGCAACATGCGGCGTAGAACCAAAAGTAATCAGCTAGACCAAAAGCGCTGAGCATCGATTCGAAATGTTTAGTAATCAAGAAAGCCAGGAGCCAGTTTACTGAAGTAGCAACGGATGTCGCTATGGATTTTACCCTGGAAGGGAAAAGTTCCCCTAGTATAGCCCAAGGTAGCGGACCGTACCCGCTGTTATAAGAGACTATGAATACAATCATAATCAACAATGGTAGAAAGGATACAGATTCCATGTTCACAACTTCCTTGCCCTTAATGTAGCTGTAGGCTCCTAGTGAGGCGTCTGACAAGGCCATACCAACAGCGGAAAATATTAGGATAGTTTTTCTCCCCAACCTTTCCCCTATGAGAGGTGCTATGAAACTGCTTATAAATTGCATAGCAACTATAATAATGGTGCATAATTCTGGTGCTAGGTTAGCACCTACTTCTTTAAATAATATTTGTCCATAAAATAACACTACATTGATCCCTGAGAACTGCTGGAATATCAATAATCCTACTGAGGTTAAAAAGGCTTTTATCAGTGCTTTGGACCTAAATATTTCCGAAAAAGAACCTTGTTCTTCTTCCTTGAATTTCCTTTGGATTTCACCCAACTCGTCATCTATGTTACTCTGTGACCCTCTTAATCGTTGCAAAGCTTCTTTAGCTAGGTCCGTCTCGTTGATGCTGATGTAGTAGTGAGGTACTTCCTTTCCTATGAAAGGAAATAGTATCAAGAACATCAACGGGAAAGCTGCCAGTACCAAATTGAAGACCATAACGCTGACGTAAGGTCCCAGAGCGCAAGAAAAAAGAAGACCGCTGCACACTCCACAACCCATTTGGAAACCAATCGAACCTCTGTTGTTTTTATCGGCAACTTCTGCAGCGTAGATGGGTAATACAGAGAATACCCCTCCCACGGTTAAACCAAGTATAAATCTGGCTACGTAGAAAAGTTCCACTATCTTTCCGAAGGCAAGCATTACGTAGCAAACAACAAAGGGCACCCCAGCTGATAGTAGGGTATATTTCCTTCCCATCTTGTCTGCAAGGTACGTGAAGAAGAAGGGACCGGCAACGGCACCCAGAGTTACCAGTGACGAGACCCATGTGGCTTCTTCGCTTGTAATGGCTCTCTTGAAGGGACTTGTGGTGGCATTTGAAAGGATCGGGAGTTCTGGGGATGACCACGTCAGAGCGGTCCCAGAAACGAACATAAGAATGTTCCCTGTAACAAAAAAGATTTTTGGTTAAGCACCTTCAACAGAAGATTGCTGTGCATTGGAGAATATTTTCTTTTCAATCGTTTTAATGGGTTGTTTGATTTTTTTAATAGATCACATATGAAGTAAAGGATAAAGACTACAGCCATTATTTTGATTTGACTGATTTAATTTGATACAGTGTAATTATGTAAACACACATTTGGAAGTATATTTGTTGAATAGTTTCAACGTGTTAATGTGAGATAAATTTGTCTATTTTTGGAATCTCCTATCCTATTTTGCAATAACAGCCGCGTCATTAACAGATACTGAAAATTACGGGTTCAAGTGTATACCTTGTAGCACAATAAATTTTTTGATATTGACAGACAGTTAAATTGTATAATTCGGTATGCAGAACTAAGATTTTGAAAATATACGCCTGAATTTTGCATAAGGAAGAATATTTTATTATGAATGGGGGGACATTTTGAAACGTGAAGTGTATGGCACATCAAAATTTTTGGCTTTTTGAGTTTGACAGCCATCCAGATTTGATACAAAATAATCATATCAGAATATAATATCAAATTTGAAAAACTGTTCCTCAATTTTGCATTAGAAAATATTTTTAGATACCATTGGTATATTTTGGAACTACCTGTTTTCTAAAAACACTCGCTGTTATTAATGAAGACTGAAATAAATAGGTTTAGATATGAACCCTGGGATACAACAATTCTCTGAAAAACTATTCTCTTTAACCTAGTCCTCTATTTCCTGGTGTCATTAACAGAAATTGAAAAATTATGAGCTGAAGTAAATAACAGGTCTAGATGTGAACCTTGTGGCACAATAACTCTCTGAAAAACTACTCTTTGAATCTACTCTTTTCTATTTTCTCGTGTCATTAATGGAAACTGAAAAATGAGGGGTCCAAATATGAATCTGGTGGCACAACGAACTCTTTGATAATGACAGCTATTTAGATTTGATACGGTATAATTTTATTATCATACAAAATAAATATTTTGGAAAATTACGCATTAATTTCGCTTAAGAAAAAATATTTTTAACTTGTGGATACTCTTTTATTTCCTAATATATCATTATCGTTAATGGAAATTGAAAAAGTAATGGGTCCAAATGCGAATTTGTGGCAAAATAAACTTGTTGACATTGAGAGCTATATGATACAATATAATCTTATCAGATAAACTAACATTGAGAAATAATATTTAAATAACATTTGGATCCACTAATTTGTTTTCTAGTATTGCTATTAATGGAGATATAAAAAGTAACGGGTCAAACTATGAACCTTGCGGCACAACAAGTTTTTTTTTGATAATGACAGCCATCTAGATTTAAAACAGTACAAACAAATTAACATAAAAAAAATAAATGTTGAAAAACTACGCTTTAATGTTGCATAAGGGATAATATTTGAATATGAGCGATACATTTTAAACTTACTCTAATAATAACAGTTGCTGTCATTAATAGAAATTTATTAAGGAAGCGGTCCAAATGCGAGTCCTTGTGGCAAAACAAACTCTTTGACGTCAAATTTGATAGTTAGCAAAATTATTAATAATTACAAATTTTCTTAATTAATTTTCCTTTTCAATAAACATTTTCTATTAACGAAAAATTATTTTAATAATTTTATGGGTCGAGAGCGACAAGCGGCCGAGTGGAAAACGATCTCGCCCTGTATAGGAAAATAACAAGATCCTTACCAGTGCTAAATGTAAGCATCGCTTGTAAGAGACTCTGCAGTCGAGACACTTTCACAGTCCGTTATCAATGCGATACCTAGGTAACCGACTATACTCGGAGGAGATCCAAACGATACTGAGTAAGAATTACCCAAAATGAGTAACAAGGGCAGCTCACACTGCGGATTGTTCAATAGCACGTAAGCCATATTGTTTATGATGGTAATCATTGCTATGACATAATGTGGATTGACTATTCGGGTGGGGGCATGTCGATAAATTTCCGCTATTTTAAATTTACATGAGTCGTCAGTCGATAAGTAGGAAATACCTGTTTTTAATTTTGGAGGGATTTGGCGTTTGACTCGTCTGTTTGAAATAAAAAAATTGAATTAAGTAAACAAAGTTGGGGATAATATTTAAATCTAAGTGAATTCAAGAGTGAACAGGTAACTGATTTCCGGTCAAACAACCCTTTGATTATTAGTTCTTTTAAATTTAAATAACTTTTACATTTTTTTTTGTAAAATTAGAAATAAAGTCATTTCAATCTTGAACTATTTTAAATGTTTGTATTTTTTAACCCGCTGTACATCAAAATCTAATTTTTTTACGATAATGTTATTTTTTTGCGACACAATTTTTATGATCAATGATTTCACTAAAAAAAATACACTACATGTTTTGAAGAAATACAGTATGTTTCTCTTCTTTCATATTTTGTTTTATTTAAACTTATTAGTAGCAAATAAATAAATTGAAATAAAAAATAAAAATATAATTATAGATTAACATTCAAGTAGATAATATAAAATAAGTTTTTATAATAATTAAATAGGGTACCTAAGCCAAGGACCACATTTTAAAAAACATTCTATATTTTCCTTAATAAAACGTAAAATTATAAAAATACTATTTAACATAATTATAAACTATCGTAAAAGTAATACTTTAATAATTAAATGATAGTGTTGAGTCTCTGATTAAAAAGTTATTTTTTATTTCCTGGATCATTTATAGGTCTTTTTTAATTGAATTGTTTTTTTTTAAATTTATTGAAAAAGACACACTTCTTTGTGAAATTATATTAAAACAGAGAAATTAAAAGACTAATTAGGTCTATATGTATTTTTTTTCTTCAGATACTTGAAATTAAAATAGGGAAATACCTATAAGAAAATTAGAAATATATTAACTGTAGGTTAACCTACTATCCAAATTTTTGACTTGGCATTGACATTTTTTTTAGGTCTAAATAAACAATCACTTCAACTGAAAATTTCGAAAAATATTTTTCAAGATAGGTATAAGCAAATAATTCGATTTTAAATGTTTCTCAGTCGTCTGTTATTATTAGAAACTAATTAATCTAAAAAATGGTAACTGGCAATATTAAATTTAAAATTTATTAAACAAAACAGAAGATCTAAACCATAAATTTATCTAATATTTATAAGACGATTATTCTCTTTGCTTATTTAAATATTGCATTTGAATAAGATAACACTGAACAAATATTTCTCAATGAGTAATATGAATAAATTCGAACAAAATCTCTAGTCATTTATAAATGACTAAAAACTAAACAGCAGAAATGCACTACGCTTTAGTAATTTTGTACAGTTATTTTGAATATCTAATTTTATGGGATTTGTATTCATAAGTCCAAGTCTAGAAATCATGGTCATATGGTAAGTTGATGCAGAAATTCAGCTGACTGAAAAAAAATGTATAAAATCATGATGTCACATTTTTCAATAGGTAAAATGCCAGACAACTTATACCTACTTTTAAGTAAATTAACAGAGCTAGAACTTGCCTTGTGTATTTAAGTAAGAACTAACAATAAATGAGTAGTTAAGTACTTAAATAAGTAAACAAGTAGGTTATTTTACTACTTATTTTACCTACTTATTTTATTTACTTAATTATATACTTAAGAATAACAAAAGTTTTTCATACTTATTATGTAATTTATACTAAAATATACTAACAAATACGTTAGTATAGTATTATAAAAACCTTTATGAAAATCTTTACCAACAATGTCACTGAAAAATTCCGAAGCGAATGAATAAAAATGACGGGATCAATGAAGCAGCGTTCCTTATCCATCGTTGATATCTCCATAAATTTTTACGAAGTTTTGTATGTAATCTTAGCACTCAATCGAAATTAGGAAAAATTTTGGTTATTTACATCATCAGGTATATATACTGTGTGATGTAGGGCAACTACAGCTATACAAATATTTTTTAATTAGGTACTTTTTACAGTGTCTTATAAAAATTTTTACATACGAACATTTTTTAGCAATTAATGAATTAGAAATAGATATTACTATCACGTAACACTTGGATTTGGCATAAATTTGGAAAATTGGAGTTGAAATCGGCAAACGTGTGTTTTCCTAAGCACACAATTACTACATAATTAAGTACTACACAATTAACTACATTTACTGCATTTACTACAATTACTACATAATTAAGTGCTTATGTAACCATTTACTTAAGTACTTAACTATTTACTGAAACACTTAACTACTTATATAGGTACTTAACTATTTATTTAAATTTATTATAAGACAAGAAAAAGTGTTTATGTGTTTATTCCAATGATCAAATCAAGAATTTGAAAAAAATTATATCTTATAACTAGTTTTTTTTCGATTCCATTTTAAGCATGTATTTATCTTCTCTCTTATTGTCTACCTATGAATGTTTTTAACATTTGCTATCTTTACAATCAGACTTTACAGATTTAAATTTGTTTACTTGCAACGATAAATGGCATTGAAGTAGAAAAAAATACCTCGAAGACAATCCAAACACAACATTACCTTTCTGTTTACTCCGTCATCGATGGACTACAATAATAGCACCATTCCAAATGGAAAATTACATAAATCTTGACCAGGAAGTCATTGACACACGAGTGGATAAAACAGGTCTAAACGATTTCGTGCAAATTAGAGACAGTCTTATTACAGTTGGTAAATTCCATTGCAACACTAAGCAAAAAATGGATATAAGTAGACACGCCTATAGCACAGCTCACATGGATATTTCTAGACGCCACATTCAGTCAATCGGTCAGTCCTTGTACAGGATGTTTCACAAATTCGTGCGTGATTTTTACTTCCTTAATTTATTGTTTCTAAAACACCCTGTACAAATTTGGATGTCTTTACGTGATACTTAAATAAAAAGTATTAATTTCCAGTATTTTTTTCTGCAAAAAGCTTCTTCATCTTGTGGCAATCGTGTTCCCCAAAGCTATTCCTAGGTTTGACATTTGACTTATTACCTTATTTGACCCCGAAATGTTGCTTCACACTGTATATCACGATTTGGAGAGCGTTACATCTCGCAAATAAGTAGCCTCCATTAGCACCCAGTTAGAGCGATTATTTTTACACATTAAATCAACTGCTGTTGTCAATAATAAACATCTCATTACCATCGATGCATCACAAAACAAACAAAGGAAGAAAAACCGAGTGATTAATGAGAAACGTTAAAATTACAAACGTAAATCGACAAAGCAGAGCACAGCATGAATAATATGTATTAATTCGATTAGTAAACAATATACCAGAGGATTTTATCTCCGAACTGATAATTATTATTTTTAATTATAACTATTATTTTACGACTATGTAAATATACATAAACAGTATGAAAAATCTTATCAGAATTATCTGATGTATTAAGGTACATTGTACCGAACAAAATGTAGTAGATGACAAGAATGTTTTCTGCTACAAAAAAAAAATTCTCAAAATCTTATGAAATAAACTCAAACATCGATACCACAAATCTGTCACCAGATTTGATGCCACATAATGTTTTTTTTACTTGTTAACAGTGAGAACGCACAAAAATAAACTCCTTTGATGTTATAATTCAGATTTTATGAAAAATTTTACTAAGAAAAAGTTGCATGATTTTTTTGAAAATCTTTTTTACTATTTGGCCTGTCTCTGACGTTAGGTTAGAGTTGTTTCAAAATCTTATGAGCTTTGACCTTGATATGCGCAGAAACATAATTCCGGTCGTTGCCTAAATTATTCTACGTCCTAAAAACATTACATCCATTATTCACAGTCTATCTCGAGCTCTCGTAGCGTAAACAAGCCTTTGCTCCGATTACTTTGACTTTGACTTTGACTTTGACTTTGTGGCTATAACAGAAACATGGTTAAATTTGGGCATTAATAGCAGTGAACTTTCACCTGATAATTACATTGTCTTTCGCAAAGACCGATCTAGGGAGTCTACAGGTTTATCAAGAGGAGGTGGTGTTCTAATCGCTATTAAAGATAGCTTTAATTGTACCGAAATTGATTTATCCCACGTTGCTAATATTGTTCCTGATATTGATGTCGTTGGTGTGAAGATTGGAAACTGCAATAATCGCAAATTATTAGTGTTTGTTTTGTATATACCACCACATACCTCCACGCAAGACTTTGATTTATTTTTCGAGGCTCTTGACTCTTTACCATGTCTAAGAGACGATATTAATTTATTATTCGTAGGCGACTTTAATTCACCAAATTATTCCTTAGATCGGTATGATAGAAATTGTGTGAGAATTAATAATTTTAAAGAATTCCATGGATTATTGCAGTACAACAAAGTTAACAACAGTTATAATCATATATTGGACCTCGATTTTTCTAACTTTAATTGCACTATAGGTAGATCTGAATGTCCATTGCTTGATGAAGACAATCACCATCAATCGCTTCTGGTTACGTTAGATATAACCCCTAGACTGTTGCATCCTTATTATTATTATTATTATTATTATTATTATTATTATTATTATTATTACAAATATCATAATCAAATGTTCTAATCTTTATTATTTTAATTTAAGCAATAAATATATATATAACGAACATTCGCCAGTTGACTTTATTGATGCTCGAGCGCCTTAGTTCATTTCTTGTTGTAATGAGGCACGTGGTCTAATTCTGAGTTAATGTTTTCACAACGTGCTTATTAGAAGAATTATGTGGATACGCCACGCCTTTCACGCATTTCGTGAAAACCCTTGGGTTTTTCTTAAGCTGCAATAAAATAAAATGCCAAGATTATTAAATATACTGCATACAATGTTAATAACTGGTTTATATTACGTAATGTTGTTTTAAACAAGAAAAACATGAGTCACATCTATGCATAATATAAGTAAATAATTAAAAAAAAAAGATATCCTAACCTATCACATAAAACATATTAGTATGAAAATCATGCTTTATTTGCCTTTTTCCTGAAAGAACAAGGTCGCGATCACTAGCACACGCGTGGATAGGAAGATTTTAAAAATATAAGAGAAGTAGAATGATTCTTAATGATATTAAGTCTACCTATATTTAAATTGAAATATATGAATATATTATCTTATATCTAATTAATGAAGTAAATTTCAGATTTCGACAACATGGGTGCACTCTGAAACTAGCTTTCCAGCAAAAAATATACAATGAAATAAACGTATAAAGAAGTTTATCAAATTGTATATTAAAAAATATGGAAGCCTTTATATAAATAATAAACAAGATATAATCAGATTTCCAAAATTTACGAAAAAATAGAGCGTCCAAAAAAACCTGTTTCCTTCCAGAAAAATTGGAGAAAATCGAAAAATTCACTATATAAAAGGTTCTAGTCACTATGTTTGCCAATAACAAATAGTATAATTACATGAAATAAAATTTTTGGATCAGAAGCAGGTGATAAATATTATGTTTTGTTTTGAAAGAAACAGTTGATAAATATTTTGAATATATTCAAAATGATCGAGAGCGTGTTGGGCTGAAATTAAGAGCATCAGAAAATGCGCACTCAGACGAAATCTTTTGTTATTTAAAAAGAAACATGTTATTTATAATTATGTTTTATTAATTTATGCTTGAGTTCCGCTAATTTGAAATTTATTCTAGCAAAATATTTCTGGAAAAATGCTTTACTAAAAGTTTCTATCAATTATGTTTATTTATCCTTAAATAAGTAATATCTTTGCGATATTTACGTATTCAAATTCCATGCTTTCTATAAGGGGTAGAGTTGCCAGATCTCCCGGATTAATCCGGAATCTTCGGGAAGAATATTGAAAGGTGAAAAGGTATTATTCATAACATTTTCCCCTAATAGTATAGAAATTAATATTTATTTAGTTTTAACACAGTGATAGTCACCCTCTAAAACTTCCCCTTACGCAACATGTAAGATTAGAATATTTCTGAATATGAATAAGATATCTAGAAAAGTTTTCAGATATAAAGATATCACAAAGAACTTTATATTTAAATACCATCCCTCGTTAGAGAGGCCTCACTAATTATTTTTGGGTGAATATTTGTATAAAAAGGTACCTTAAATTTTATATTGATTTTTGAATAGGTTCTCTGTCCTTAAAATACTGTACATGACAATCTGCCAAGCGCTTTCATTTTGCATAGAGTTCTCAACATCATTTTCCTTGATTTCATAAATTGTTATGCGTAAATTGAGTCATACTTAGCGTATGAATATGAATTTAAAAAAACCCTTGTTATTAAAATCTGATGAGGAAACAAACATTTCAATGACTAAAAAATATACAAATATAACTCTCCCGCGTCTCTGACTTAATGAAAGTAAAAGGGGATAAACAAATAATGACAAAATCTGAAATCACATGACTTTGTGACCCTATTCCATTTAATAACGTCTATCTGAAGGTCTCAGAGACCGGAAAAATTTCTCTCGTTAATAGTTGATAATTATACACGTAAATCATTTTTGCAACATGGGGGGATTTTGAACAAAAATAGTTTGTAACTTTTTAAGAGGTCGTCCTCATGACCTTATATTTTGTGAAATTTATTTATCATAGAATCAAGTATGAATTTTAAAGGCTATAAAAGTGGAATTTGGTGGTAGATATAGTAGCAGTAGTAGTAGTAGTAGTAACATCAATACAAATCATTCTCACAATATGCAATTTTCTATGCAATTAAAAATACGCTGCACCTCAGCATTGTGGTTTTTTAAATTATCATTAAAAAATAATATATATGTTTATTGCTTCCGTTGGTAATATTCTTGTGCTAATAATTGAGGAATTATTCTAAAAAGCGTTCTATTAAATTTATGAATTTTTTTTTCGACATGCAATACCTCAAACCATTGCTCTTTAAAATGCAGACTGTATTTAAATTTAGAAAAACACGAACGGCATTGTGTGATATTATTTGGAGATTATTTTTATTATTCAGTGTATTAAGCTTAAATTACTGCAAATAATCTAAAATAGCTCTAGAACTATTCTCTTAACAAAAATTTTTCGTTTTATTAGAAATAGCCCCTTGCAGCTTAACACCAAAAAAAAGAAAATGTAAAATTAGATTAATTTTTAACACAAGTTAAACCTCTTCAGATATATTTAAGAAAATATGATTTCATTTCAAATTTTAATATTCAATTAGTTGGTAACTTAATATATAGAGAACTATGTTTGAAATTTGACCCATTCGTCTCCGGACATCCTGTATATCACAAAAATAGAAACTAGTTGAGTTCGGGACAGTCAGTAACGTTTATCTAAAAAAAATTATTTTTTAGCGTTTTCAGCAAAGTACCTTTTTTTGTAACATGGTTTACGTTATACTAATGATATGCCCTGTAAAATAACGTCTTCTTTTTGTGAAAAATATGTTTCAATGAAATTATTAGAACTTGTCTATTAAAAGATATACAGGGGGTCTCTAAAGGGGATGTACAAAAAGAATGTACGAAAACATTTTTCTTTAATGTCTTTCGAGTACTTTCAGCTAATTTCGTGAAATTTCGTATCCGAGGGTTTTTTGGGATGAGAAATTTGAATTTATCGACGATTTCATTGTATCTTCTAGAGGACACCACAAGCGAAAATTAGGACGCATTTAAACTGCCAAAACTTTTTGGGCTGGAAAAATCTATTCCCCCAACTTTTCTGCTTAAATAATATGTAACTTGCAATATCTCTAGATCCAACTATTTTCAACAAAAGGCATTTAAATTTGTAAATGCACAAAAAATTTGTTTAAAAGTATTTTCAACTCCACGAAATTAGGAGCATTCGTCTGTTAGCAAGAAATATGCCTTTAAAGGAAATAATGCAATTACAATTTTAAATTTCGTTTATTTAACAATTTTACTGCAAAATAATAATTTTTAAAAATATTCTAATCAGTTTAACACAATCTAAACAATGTAACCCATCTAAATGATCTAAAAATCTAAAAAATAACTAATTATTAGGTATTGACCTGTCTGAATAATATTGTGTAAATGTTTTCTTAAAAACTAAATTCGATACACTTCAGATTTGTGTTCACTTCCATCGAAAATAGGGGGTAGCCAAAATTTCGCGAAAATTTTATTCTACACCAAATTATTTTTTTTATGTTCTATACTGAATGTATCGTACCATTTTCCAAAACACTTTGTACATTATTTATGATTTTTTTCACAGCTAGGTAATTAAATTTAGACTTGCTAGTGTGCCTTTAAGAATTTCATATTTAAGGGCAACGAAATTGACCAAAAATTTTTTTTCTGAAACGCGTACGAGAATAAATGCATACATGAGCCGAGAAATTAACCAGACGCGATGGAATAAACCGTCCTACCTTGAAAAAACTAATCAATCATCCGCGTATTCGAGTTTGACAAATTGGCTCTGAAGCCAGCTAGTTCCCCATAACCTTAAAAATTTCGATACTGCCGTGGAGCGGCGTCAAAAGGCCGAGATCGGGCGCTCGTACTTGGCTGCGCTGATGAGTTCGGTACCATATTCAGTACTACTCGTTTAATTCACTACACTTCAGCCTCCAATCGCGTTGGAAAGTGCTTGCAACCGCAGACACTTTAAATTTTCGTAAACATATCATGTAAGCGCGAGAGGAACGTTGTAGTGAATCTTAGTACCCCAAAAGACTGATCAGTGAGTGACGAAATGGACTCTAGCAAAAAATACGACAACCCTTCACCCGAAGAGAAAACCAACATAATCTCGAAATTATTCTTCTGGTAAGTACATCAACATATCACATATGCTTTCGAGTTTAAGGCACCCTGTTCGTTAGTTTTTTATTGTTTTTTTGAAAAACCGCGTCCTTTCTTAAATTCAGTTCTAAATTTAGCCCGCTGCTTAATATATACCGTGCGAAAAACTTGCCCAGGTTATTTTGATTGAAAGGCAGAACCAGTTTCTGAACCCCGCGCTATTTTTAGCCGGTCTTGGTGCCGAGTTAGGGATGATGCGAAAAAGGTATACGAGTATGGAATTCGTTAGATGCGAGCTTTTTTCTCCACCAAGCTCGGCAAGTTCGTGCTTAAACCGCTGCTATTATGAAAGCCAGGAGCGTCTTGGATACCTTACAGGGTGAAACACATACCACTCAATTTTTTTATAAAAATAACATAACCTTTTTTGGACTTAAAGTTCAGTCCGTACGAAAACAATGGTCTAAATTAATTATCAGGCACTTAACTTTCTTAAAAGGATTTTTTTGGTACTGTACCTAGCCCAAATGTGGACAAACTCTTAAATATAGGGGTGTCCAGAAATTCATGCAACAAAATTTGGTCACAGATTCTTAAGACAAATTTAGAGGACCTGTATTTTTTATTTTTGCCAAGTGGTCCCCTCTTTCGGAGTTACAGCCCCCTGAAGTCAGCCCCTAAAAATAATCTTTTGTTTATATCTCATAACCCTGTTGTACGAGAATCACTAAATTTGGTACACAGGGGTTTTATGACATGTGGAATCTGATGGTGCTACGTTTTTTGGCAGGGAACCCCCTTAAGACAGTTTTTCGTGGACCCTCTTGTCTTTGAAGCCAAAAAAAATTTGGTCGCATATTTAAATTTCTTAAAAATTATCAGTCCACTAGAAAGCCATTAAATTTAGAAACTTTTTGTCCCTTTATATTTTTTTCGTAAAACGCAATGTTTTTGAGAAAAATGTCAAAAGGTGATCGAATGCATATCGTGATTCGCCATTTCCTCAAAAACATTGCGTTTTACGAAACAAATATCAAGAGACAAAAAGTTCTAAATTCAATGGCTTTCTAGCTAACTAATAATTAAAAAAAAAATCGAATTTGCGACCAAATTTTTCTGGTTCCAAAGACAATGGGGCCCACGAGAAAGTGTCTTAAGGGGATTTGTCGCCAAAAAGCGAAGCACTGTGAGATTCTTAGGGGCAGATTTTAGGGGGCTGTAACTCCGAAAGAGGGGGCCAGTTGGCAAAAAGAAAAAAACGGGTCCCCTAAATTTATCTTAAGAATCTACGACTTATAAATTATTAACTAAATTAATTAAGTTTTTTCTGCAATGAAAAAAATTCTGCTAACTTCAGTGTTATTTTTGATGTGATCTATGTTTGATCAAGAAAAATTATTTAAAAAAATTTGATCAAATGAAGTCGATAACAGAAATCTAGGTATGTAAAAGATATCCAACTCCACAGATACGACTCATAACTACTGCAGGAAACAACTAATAGCTAGTAATAATAATTATCCAAAATAAAAACTGAAGATGATATGTCTAAATAGAATTACATATTCCTTTAAAAAAACATGTATTTCGTTATGATGTCTTCTTTTTTAAATCAACTAATTTGTTGCACCAACTTGATTTAAATTTTATTATTCCCATTCACTTTTTTACTTCAGGCCATACTGGTTTTTTATAAATCAATACAATAAAATATTTTAAATATGGCGCCTATTATGTGCTTCAATACAATAATGGCTAAATATATAAAATTCTAAAAAAGGTTTTGCAGTTATGAAGGAATTTTGAATATGTTTATATACAGAGTGTTTTAGAAAAAATATTTTTACATCAAATTTTAACCATATATCTTACAAAAAAAACAGCAGAATGCATTGAAATCTACTATAACTTAGTTTTTGACTAGAGGCCGTTAGCTAGAGCCTTATCAAGTGATATTTCTTTTTAAGAATGCGAAATTGTACCAAGGTAACTTGATCTAAATCGGTTTCTTTTCAATCGAGGAAACTATCCCTGAAGTATAGCTCATTCATTTTTGGACACCATGTGGAATAGAAGCTGATTGACTTTGGAAGGCACTTTCATTTTTACCAAAAACTATTGCTGTGACTGCAATAAGAATACCATTATTTGTAAAATAAAATTTTATTTTATATTATGACATACAACGTGATAAATCTAACCTCAAAAAAACTTTGACATAAAATGTCATTGGCTAAAGTCGTAGTTGGCGACTTCTAACAGATTGTCAAAAACCTGTACCAAATTTCTATGATTACATTGTTTTTTAGAAAAACATGGCAAAAATTTGTTTCTCAAAAACAGAACGTGATAATTCTATAGAAAAAAGACGTTTAATTTTTTGATCTTCTGTGAGCCTCCTAATTTTTGGTACATTTTTCTAAAACATCTTCTATAAAGAACCCCTATTTCTAATAAAATTAGTTAAATTGCAACTTAAACATTACAAAAACGTATTTTGAAATTTGTCCAATATTTAAAATTTATAATTTATAATAACTTATTTATATTTCTTTGTCTTTAAATAAGTCTAAATTATCTTTCGTGTAAAAAATACATTATTTAGAACTCTATACACATTGCTTCTCTGTAACTTAAATCAGGAAAGTTAGGAGGATGCTATTACAGCAAAGTTGACTTTATGAATAAGAAAATTAGGCAGTACTTCATATTTATAGATTATCACTTGAATATTCTTAAGACCTGTTCAATTTCAGAGTGGCCAGTTAATTGTCACCACTGTGTATGCAGTTGGGTAACTTCCAAGTATGTTACGGAGATTAACGGTCTCGTGAGAAACGTTCTTTGTGTGCATTATGATAGAAACAGCTAATTTTAAAGTAAACCTCGCCCATTGAAATAGCATATTATGTGTACGTCAGTATGGGGAGGCCTTATGAAAATTTTTATTAAAAAAGTTTAAATAAAGTATCGAGATGATTTGATGATATAAATGACCGCGTAAAAAGATAAACGCCACTGGTTTTCTAGTGCAAAGAATACTGCACTAGAAATCCTACTGCTAAAATAATAAACGATACTTAACACTTTATTTAAAGTGGAAAATTTCAATAATTTTGATTATGCTATAGGTACTTGTACAAGTCATTGTACATTATATTATATTGTTTATAATGAACGGATATATGATGAAAAAATATAACTAATAAAGTTTTAACACAGTAGGCCTTGACAGCAGTTGTTATAGTTGTTGTCATATTATTTTGTTGTGTAATAAAAAACTTTGTAACAATGTAAGAGACTTTATTGCCTTGGGTAGTTAAACTGAATCAATTACATACTGGATGCATTCCAATAAAAAAGCTACCAATATATATCAGCTTTTTATGAAGGAATATTATTCTTGTTTCCGTTTAAAATCATTAAAGTAAATCAATTTAACAAATTTTTTAATTAGAAAAGGCAATCTCTATGGTATTTAGTCTATGTGAGGTATTATTATCACTTCCAACTATTTCCATCAAAAATTAAAAATATACAGACATAATTTGTATAACAGTTTATATTTCTCATATATTTTTTAATCAAGATATATTTCAGAGAAAATATTTTTTTTTAATCGTAACCAACTACGACCTTATCTAAAAAATGTAGTTCTTTCTTTCTTTAGTGCTTTTTGAGATAACCTGAAATTCCATCGAATTTCACCCGCTCTGCACAGGAACATTAAAAATTAATAATATTATATTCTACATTTATCGTCTTTAAACTATGCATATTTATCAAGCATAATTAATTCGTCAATAGAGACCATAATATTACATATAAATTATTGGTCACACTGGTTGGTACATCTTAGAAACCACTGATGGCTATAAAATCTGAATAAATTCACTTTTATTTCTACAGGTGTGTAACGGTGTCTGGCTGATATTACGAAAATGTGGCAGACAGTATTTAATTTAACTGATACTGAAATTCTACACATGCTAATATATGTAAAGGTGTAACCATTACAATAACGGTTGTAAATAATTGAACCTACTAACAAAATCAACACCATTTATTTTCACAGAACTGAGGATTTATACGGTGAGAAATTTAACTAAATCGTGTTTTCTTAACAACTTTTTACAAACGCTGTCTAAAAAAAGCTGAATTACAAGTTATGCCATTTAAAGGCTTCATATCTGGCTACTTAATAACAATTTAAGATAGACTTTTTAGTATCCTCCGAACAAAGACAGCAACTATATTTCGAAAAATGTCAACCATATTTAAAAGATGACTACATTATCTTACTTAAGACTTACATTATCTAAATCTCGCCAAGGTTTAACAACGTTCTCCTGTGATTCAATGTCGATTTTCGATCACAGATTTGACAAACTGTGATGAAAGGTTACATCTATTTAATATAAAAATTAGTGTTTGTTTAATAATTTATTTAAAATGTCATCATTTCATTGAGCTTTACGTTTTGATTAACAGGTATAATGATTACGGTCATGTGCATTTAGCCCTCTTCATAATTTGGGAGCTGAATATGAAATAAAAATGAAATTTGTAATTAAAAATGAAGTACCGGTAAAATGAAGTTCCTTTCTGAATGCCAATACCAGAACCACAAATAAATATTTTTCTCTCAAAAAAGCAAAATTAAGTTATTTAAATATTTTATTCTTAAGAGTTTCGGACATATTTTTGAATAATATTCGTATGGAACGTCATAAATATAATATGAAATATAATATAATATAAAAATAATTCCTTTTTTAATGTTCCCCTTACCGATATATCGAACTTCAGAAGGGTGTATAGATATTTGCATTTTAACTTTGATCAAATTTTGGTATACTGATGATTATAGAGGCTGATTCAAAATTCAGTACAAAGAATATAGGGGCGTATTTTTGAGGTCAAAATAAGACTTTTTTCCCCATAAACGTGGGTCCAAAATTAATTTTTAAATTTTTCACTGTAAATAGTTATAAAATTTGAAAATATTTAACTCCTCATCAGCC